ACCGGGCACTAAATGAGCACACCATAAAAGACGACTACCCACTTCCAAGAATCCAAGACACACTAGACACGCTGTCCAGAGCAAAGTGGTTTAGCACATTGGACCTTGCCTCCGGGTACTGTCAAGTGGAGTTGACCCCACAGGCGAGACAGGCACCTGCGTTCTGTAGCAGGAAGGGGCGTACCCCCTGCCCAACGACCAGGCTGTTACTGTGGCAGAGGTTATAGTCGCTGAATGGGTCTGCCGTTACGGGGCACCACTTACCCTCCATAGTGACCAGGGCACCAATTTTGAATCGGAGGTCTTCCAAACAATGTGTGAGCTGCTCGACATTGACAAGACCCGTACAACGCCTTTCCGACCTCAGTCAGATGGGCAGGTTGAGCGATTTAATGCCACTCTACAGAAAATCCTAGCCACAACCTCTGAGCGATGTCATTGGGAATGGGATCTGATGGTTCCCTACGCTGTGATGGCTTACCGAGCGACCAAGCACAGTTCGACTGGATTTACCCCAAACATGATGCTCTTCGGCCGGGAGATAACGGAGCCCATTGACCTGGTCGTAGGAAAGCCCCCCAACGACACACTGACGCAATCATTTCCACGATATGTGGTTCAGATGAGAGAAAGGTGTGAGTTGGCACATCAAGTTGCAAGGGATGCACTTGGCCAATCGGTGGAGCATGCTAAAAAGCAGTACGACAAGAGAGCAGCCAGGACACGCTACAAAGTCGGTGATGCGGTGTGGCACCTTGTCAAGGGAACGAAGTGAGTGAAAAACAAAATCAGGAAGACCAACTACGATGGTCCTTACTTTATCTTGGGACATCTGGACGACTTAGTGTACCAGATCCAGAGAAACCCGAGGACCAAAGTAAAAGTCGTTCACCATTACAAGCTCAAACCATACCATTCTCGGCAACCCCTGGAGAACAGCTGGGTGTTTAAAGACTCAGAAGGTTGGCAACCTCAGGAAGTTTCTGCCCCAGACCTGGGAGTCAATGGAGCTGAACTTGACTTGGATCTGTCTTGTCTCTTCACGGAGGAAACCAGAAATTCCGGTGGGCCAGACAGCATGCCTCTCATGGATGGCACCAGTGTGCCGATAACTGAGCAGGACACAGAGGATGTTCAGTGGAGAGAAGGTAGCACGGTGCAACAGGATTTAACAGGGACTGTTAACGGCCAAATGAGGGGTAGGCTGCAACGAGTCAGGAGATCACCGAGGAGGTTTGGGGACTGGACTAATTGATTATTAAAGACTTAAGAAAAAAAAGAGAAGGAAATAATATTTTGTTGGCAATTCGTTATTGTTCTACAATTGTTAAAAAAATAAAAAATAAATACGAACATGAATTGACGAGTTGTTACGCTGCCGCCGGAAATCGCTGAAGCGGAGAAAGTAACACTGGTCAGTTTTATCCAAGCAGGAGACGTAAAATGTGGTCTTGGCCAAAGTGCATGGGCCAGAGAAAGAATAATGTTTATCAGTAAATCAGACACATGTCCATTTTGATTGCATGGGGTCATTAATTCGAATTCACCGCCCAAAAAAACTATTTAATGCATATTAAATATTTCCTTTTTATGCAAACAAAGAAATGCATCAGGTCAAACCAATGATCATGTTATTGACACTAGCCTAAAACTAATTGGTTCAAGTAAATACTTGCACGAGTAACTCGCAAACAACTGATCTTCGTTTTAAACAACATAAAAGTGGGTTTTCGTGAAATGTGTGACACGAGCGTGCAATGAGTTTGTAAAAGCCGTCGAATACACCATTTTCTAAACTGATAATTATGAAAATTAAAGAATTGAATGCGGATTACAATTTTGAAAATGTACCTGTCGGATACAATAAAATGTTCCGTTTCGCGGTGCTACTTAATCTGCCACAAACTTCAGTTATTTACATCCATCCTCGATTTTCAGATTGGGATTACACTTGATATTCATAATTTGCCAACCACAACTTCGTCTTCTGATTGGCTGGAAAACAGAACATGTGGTTTTTAAAAATACAACTTGAATTTTATTCACATTTTTAAAAATAATTTTAGAAATACGCAAGTGAAGATAACTGACCTTATAATTTAAAAATATAGGTAATATAGGTATTTATGAATCCTACTGGTGAAAACGTGTACCTCATGAATATTAATTACGTAATGCCAGGATCTGTCAGTGATTGGCTCAAAGGCAGACGTTCGTAAATTGGTCGCTTAAAGGGGTCATATGATGTTGCTAAAAAGAACATTATTTTGTGTATTTGGTGCAATGAAATGTGTTTATGCGGTTTAAGGTTCAAAAAACACATTCTTTTCCACATACTGTACATTATTGTTTCTCCTCTATGCCCCACCTTTCTGAAACGCGTCGATTTTTACAAAGCTCATCGGTCTGAAAAAGCGAGGTGTGCTCTGATTGGCCAGCTATCCAATGCATTGTGATTGGCCGAAT